CGTCTGAGCGTGGTGACTCTTGATGCACTGACTCCAGCTTCAGTACACTCCTTGTGAAGTTCTCCCAAGTGATTTAATCAGCTTTGCTTGACAGTATTCTCAAGCTTTCTGTCATCCCTGTTGCTTGTGTACTTTTTCCTACCCAATTTCTTTCTTCCAGTCAACTTTGCATTGAATATGCTTTGATACAGCACTCTGTGAACAGCTGCTCTTTCAGTAATGACCTTCTGTGACTTAACTCTCTTTGTGGAGGGTGTCAGTGATTGTCTTCTGGACCATTGCCAAGTCAGCAGTCTTCCCCATTATTGTGGTTTAAAAGAACAAGAGATACCCGGAATTTATACTGTAGGGATGGTAATTTAATGAAACTCAAATGTAAATATTGTAATATTTTGAGATACTGGATTTTTTGACTTTCATGAAGTGTAAGCTCTAATCATCAAAATTAAAACAAGAAACTTTACAAATGTTTTACTTTACATGTAATGAATCTAGAAAATATGAAAGTTTCACTTTTTGAAACAAGTTACAAAAAAAAAAGAAACTTTTTCACAATATTCACATTTTTTTTAGGTGCACCTATATATATACAGTACTGTTTAACATTTTTGGCTCAGCAAGATTGAATGTTTTTACTGAAGTCTCTTCTGCTCACCAAGGCTGTATTTATTTGCTCAAAATACAGTAAAAAATAGTAATATTGTGAAACACAATTACAATTTATATTACATTTGAATTGATTCCTGTGATCAAAGCTGAATTTTTAGCATCATTACTCCAGTCTTCAGTGTCACATCCTTCAGAAATCAATCTAATATGCTGATTTGCTGCTTTAAAATTTTGTTTTATTATTATCAATGTTAAAAAAAAAGTTGTGGTACTTTATATATTTGTGGAAACCAATTCTTTAATATAAAATTCAAAAGGACGTCATTTATTTGAGATCTTTTGTAACATTATAAATGTCTTTACTGCAACTTTTGATAACAAATCTTATCGTGTATGACATGTTACACCACCAAATGTCTAGATGGGCTCGGTTTACTGTTTTGGTCACTTAAAGTTCTCTAAATCTGGCTGTTTAGTGTGAAAATATCCTTAAAGGTACACTATGTCACTTTTTTTTATCAAAATGTACAAAATTGCTATAGTGAGTTTTGTGTATTAACCTGCTAGAGCACCAAAAGTTACATAGTGTAGCTTTAATAAAAATAACTTGTCATAATAGGGAAAAACAATCAGGCCTGCTACCTCTATGCTGTCCCAGGGTGCTCCACGGGGCAGGGCCCACTCATGGAGCTGTGAGTCCTGGCTGAGGTGCCGCAGCTCCTGGGCCTGCTGACGGAGCACCGTGTCCTGGGAGGACGAAAGACTCTCAGCCAGGTCCAGAATCAAGTCTGTCTGGCCCTCAGAGATCTTGGTCAGCGCAGAAAGAATCCAGACCCGTGTCTCCGAGCTCACGCTTCTCTGATCCAGCAGCTGCGTCAGGAACTGGATGACCTCGCGCTGGTCCACGGACTCTTGGAGGTGAGCGTATTCTCCAAGCACCTGAGCACACATCGGTGAACAAATATCAGTTCCAGAAGAACATCATCATTTCATTTCAAGGGCAACAGCCACTTGCAGTTTATTCCAATAGGTTTTGGTTTTAGCATGCTTCTAAGCTAATGTCTCAGAACTGTAATAGGCATGAAAAAGCACCACACACAGGGCTTATTTTATCCTTTTTAATCAAAAAGTATCCAATTTACATTTCTATGACAGTTTTAAAAGGATTAACCAGTTATCCATCTTTTTTACCACCAGTTATAATGCTGGATTTTATTTTAGTGTAAATGATAAAAAAACAACAATGAAATATCAAAATATTTAATATTAAATTATAAATAAAATTAAATAATTGTTATCAGCATAGCATAAAAATATATTATGCTTTAAATATATTAGTTAATATAATTAATTAAGTAAACATGAACAATTAATTAATATTAAGTAAATGGTTAATAAATAATATGATAATTTAATACAATTAATGTATTTAATATTAAATAACAATTATATAATGCTCAGTTGGTTCTTAAAAGACAATTAATATTCAGAAAATATCGGATGAGAACACAAAAACAAACTGCATTGAGCTGAATAATGACACTATTTTCTTCTGTAGAGCTGCTTTACAGCTCAAATTGAAGTTGTTTCAAGATTGATGAATTTTGCAACATTAACACTATTATTTTCCTGTTTATTACTGTGAAAAAGCTGAAACACAATCTACTGCATGAAGCACTTTATAAAAAATGTGACCTGAAGTGGCTTAATAAAAAAATTAATGTGTCCTAATTGATTACTAATAAATACAAACTGGCTTTGTGAGTAAATAAAATGCCAACTGATATTAAAGCGCAAATTGTAAAATCCATCTACTGAAGAAAACACCTGTGGTAACTTGCAAGTCTTTCACTTAATCAGAAAATTCACCTTCAGAAGTTTATTTAGGTTAAAGTTTTTTGTCCTCTAAATATAAGGATTTTTTTTAACCTTTTTTAATGTATTTACCTAATAAATGTATTTTTGGAATTGTATTTTTCCTCAATTTATCCACATTTATCAGGTGTTTTAAAATTAGTTTTGAAGCCTGTCACTAGAATTTCAATCAGCCTTAAAAATATAATTTTTTTGTGAATCATCACAACTGTGCAGTGTATCAAAAAATGTGTGTGTGTGTGTGTGTGTGTGTGTGTGTATATGTAGTACACACCCAGCTCATGACCTGTAAGAAGCACTGGGGCAGATGAGAAGTGTGTCCCTTCAGCACAGTCAGATACGAGTCAACAGCATAAAGCCGTAGCTGATCATCTTCCTCTTTAGACTCAGAGCCTGAGACAAAAACACACAAAAAAAAAACATCAGAAATATAAAATAAAACACCTTCTCCTACAGTTTCCAGCTCTTAGATTGTCTATACTTCTGGTTTACCCTCCGCCAGCAGTCGCAGGAAGTTGTTTGGGACGTCTTGTTGCAGCAAATCTCCACCGATGGAAAAAACATCATTCATCGTCTGAATGAACCATGAGTTATCTGGAGCAAACGTAAGGGTTTTTATAGGAACATAACAGCTGTCATTCAACAAATATTTGCTCATTTCATTGGAAGTAGCGTATTCATAAACTCTGGTTAATTAAAAGGATATTTTTCAGCGAGCTCTGCGACTTTCCCAACCAGATGGATGATGGTGTGCTCGTCGTTGCAACTGCGCAGGAAGTCCAGCATCTTCTCAATGATCACGGTCACATTCTGAGCATTTGTGATCCTGAACAGCAATTCAAGAGTCTGAGAGAGAAGAAAGGAAGAGATGAACACAAGACATGATTTGTTGGGAATTAAGAATACGCAGATCAACAGAAATCTGATATTAAAGGGATAGTTCACCCAAAAATGAAAATTCTGTCATTAATTACTCACCCTCAAGTCGTTCCAAACCCGTAAGACCTTCGTTCATCTTCGGAACACAAATTAAGATATTTTTGATGAATTCCGAGAGCTCTCTGACCCTCCATAGACAGCAAGGGAACTACCACGATCAAGGCTCAGAAACGTAGCAAGGACATCGTTAAAATAGTCCATGTGACATCAGTGGTTCAACCGTAATTTTACGAAGCTGCGAGAATACTTTTTGTGCGCAAAGAAAACAAAAAATAACGACTTTATTCAACAATTCGTCTTCTCCGCGTCACCCTGGCGCCATTTTGAGAGTATCACATACGTAAACAACGTGTGTACGTGGATACGTTGTTTATGTTGTTTACGCTTTGATCTGAACGTAAACAACGTATCCGCGTACATACGGTGGCTGCATCCGAAAACTTAAGGCAGCTGACTTGTTGCCTCGCTGCCGAATGAGGCAATGACTTTGCAGGCAGCGTTTTTGCACGAAGGCACCTCATGAAACTGATTTCGGACAGGCTTCTGAGGCAGCGTAACGGTTTAATGATCTACAACAAAATAGAACGAGTTTTGGTGATAACTAAACGAATATTTAATTACTATAATACTGATTTCTCGCTAGAAATAACATCAAAAGTGCAAAAAGTTACACACAAACTGACAACCAAACGCAACTTTCAGATGCCATCTTTATTTTTTAGCTCAACCGTCACGGAATGGTACGCACATGATTGTGGGATATCAAAGGCAGCGAAGGATACATCTATGCTGCCTTCAAAATTAAATCAGAAGAAGGTACCTCCGGAGACAGGAAGTAAAGCAAAATTTGGATTCGGACGCGTCTTGATGCCTTCCTGCCTTGGAATGCTGTAAAGCTTTCGGACGCAGACGTTGTTTACGTATGTGATACTCTCAAAATGGCGGCAGGCTGACGCGGAGAAGACGAATTGTTGAGTCATTATTTTTGTTTTCTTTGCGCACAAAAAGTATTCTCACAGCTTCGTAAAATTACAATTGAACCCCTGATGTCACATGGACTATTTTAACGATGTCCTTGCTACGTTTCTGAGCCTTGATCGTGGTAGTTCCCTTGCTGTCTATAGAGGGTCAGAGAGCTCTCGGAATTCATCAAAAATATCTTAATTTGTGTTCCGAAGATGAACGAAGGTCTTACGGGTTTGGAATGACATGAGGGTGAGAAATTAATGACAGAATTTGGAAATTATATCAAATATCAACATTTTTGGGTGAACTACCCCTTTAAATCAATTATTGAGCTAATTTATACTATTTGTGAGAGCATCACATTTGTTTTGGATGTTTTATAAGTTGGATTTTCTTTTTGCTTTTGTTGTTGTTATGACAAAGTAATATTTATGAGTTGAAAAGTCGAAATTATGACACAAAATTCATAATTATGATATTAAAAAGTCACTTATGAGCTATAAAGTCACATTTATGGCTACGGTGGCTGCATCCGAAAACTTAAGGCAGCTGACTTGTTGCCTCGCTGCCGAATGAGGCAATGACTTTGCAGGCAGCGTTTTTGCACGAAGGCACCTCATGAAACTGATTTCGGACAGGCTTCTGAGGCAGCGTAACGGTTTAATGATCTACAACAAAATAGAACGAGTTTTGGTGATAACTAAACGAATATTTAATTACTATAATACTGATTTCTCGCTAGAAATAACATCAAAAGTGCAAAAAGTTACACACAAACTGACAACCAAACGCAACTTTCAGATGCCATCTTTATTTTTTAGCTCAACCGTCACGGAATGGTACGCACATGATTGTGGGATATCAAAGGCAGCGAAGGATACATCTATGCTGCCTTCAAAATTAAATCAGAAGAAGGTACCTCCGGAGACAGGAAGTAAAGCAAAATTTGGATTCGGACGCGTCTTGATGCCTTCCTGCCTTGGAATGCTGTAAAGCTTTCGGACGCAGACGTTGTTTACGTATGTGATACTCTCAAAATGGCGGCAGGCTGACGCGGAGAAGACGAATTGTTGAGTCATTATTTTTGTTTTCTTTGCGCACAAAAAGTATTCTCACAGCTTCGTAAAATTACAATTGAACCCCTGATGTCACATGGACTATTTTAACGATGTCCTTGCTACGTTTCTGAGCCTTGATCGTGGTAGTTCCCTTGCTGTCTATAGAGGGTCAGAGAGCTCTCGGAATTCATCAAAAATATCTTAATTTGTGTTCCGAAGATGAACGAAGGTCTTACGGGTTTGGAATGACATGAGGGTGAGAAATTAATGACAGAATTTGGAAATTATATCAAATATCAACATTTTTGGGTGAACTACCCCTTTAAATCAATTATTGAGCTAATTTATACTATTTGTGAGAGCATCACATTTGTTTTGGATGTTTTATAAGTTGGATTTTCTTTTTGCTTTTGTTGTTGTTATGACAAAGTAATATTTATGAGTTGAAAAGTCGAAATTATGACACAAAATTCATAATTATGATATTAAAAAGTCACTTATGAGCTATAAAGTCACATTTATGGCCTAAAAAAAGTCATAATTATGACAAAATGTTGACATTATGATATTCTCATAATAATTATGAAAAAAAAAAGTTTAAATTATGACATAAAAAGTCAAAAATTATGTATTTTTCTAATTATGACAAATTTAGGTGTGGTTTGTTCATTACCTCTCTCTTAATAGTGAAATCTGAGTGATCCAAACACTCAATAATGGTCATCTGATGCTGCAGGGCGAGTTTAGCATCGTGCTGGACGACATACGTCAAGGCTTTCAAACCTGGAAAATGCACCAATATATAAGCAGTTAAAGTGAGTTCAGGTTAACTAACTAATGAAAATCAAAAGCAGGAATTTTACCAAGATATTTGAGGTTGATCTTCGGAGACAGAACAAAATTCCCAATGCATCTCGCGGCTTTTTCCAGCAGCTCAGCTTTGGGGTGTATAGTGTAGACAGCCTTCACACACTCATACAGGATTGCTGAAACAGACATTATGTGTTATTTGTGTACATTTTGCTGACAAATAATCATTCACTCCATTAGAAGAGACGAGTTATGATGATTAGTTATTCTTGCTTTAAAAAGCAGAAATAAAACAAACAAGCAAACAAAAAGGGTTCTGCATAGTGCTAATCGGACACTTATAAGTCAGTATCAGTATCAGTAACTAAATACTAAAAACTCCTTAAGATTGTTTTTGTTCATTGAAATAAAGCTGAAATATATAGATGGGAAAAAATTAAAAAACTTAAATGAAAACGAAGAAATGTTTTCTTATGTGTTGAATTACGTTGAGTTCATTTGGATGAGATAATTTGGTTACAGTTATTACTTGCAATTATTAGTTAGCCTTGCATTAAAAAGAGGAAAACAAACATTCTGCATAGTGGTTATTGAACACTTCTAAACCATTAGTATTGTAACTAGATACAAAAACTATTAAGGACCTTTTTCGTTATTTGAAATAAAGCTGAAATAAAATAAAAGTATTAGATGAAAAATATAAATACTTAAAATTAGAAATGTTTGCCTTGGCAACTACCTGAAATAAAACTAAATAAAAAGCACAAATAAAATAATAATAAAACAAATAAACATAAAAAGGTTCTGCATTTAATTAATTTAAATAAAGCTGATATATAGATGAAAAATGTCAACTTAAATGAAAATACCTAAAATACCTTAAGCTTAGTTACACTATATTACTAAATCCTAATTAATACATTTAAAAATAACCAAAAGCTACACAGAAATATAAAAAACAAAACTGCTGAAAGACACATTATGTATTAGATGAATTAATTTTGAACACAAATTGCCATTTGGTCCATTAAAAAAAGATGATTTCACCGTAAGTGATGTTGTGGTTCATTTCCGCTCTGCGCAGAGACTCATCCAGAACTTCATACATCAGCTCGCTGGTGCTGAAAAATGAACAGACACATTTCCCATTCAAGTATGTACTTTTTAGTGCATAATGTAAGTAGCTTGTATTTGCATGGCGGCCCCTCGGTACCTTTGGTCCTCTTTCCCGAGCAGCGAGAGGATCCTGAGCAGCTGGATCTGCAGCCACGGTGCAGGAACACTGTGATAGTTAAAATCCAGCGGGAGTTTCCCACCCACCACCTGCTTCAGGATGGTGACGAAACTACCTGTCAGGTCCTTATAGCTGTCTGGACTCTCCTGATGAAGACAAAAACATCAGATGTTTCTTTACTGAAAGTGAAATACTGCATGATGGGACAAAATCACAGCAAACCAGAATATGTTTAAAGGGGTCCTATTATGCTCTTTTACAAAATCTTGATTTTGTTTTGGGGGTGTACTAGAACAGACTCTCATACTAGGTTGTTCGAAAAACACATTATTTTTTTACATATTTTACATCACCTCTCTCCCCAGTTTGGCATGAACGGCTCGAATAGTTCCAGTATCAAATGAAAGCCCGCCTTCTGAAATACGAAATGTGCTGTGATTGGTTTATAAAGCTGGTTGTAGATGTTACGGTTAGGACAAAAACTGTCTGTATTCTAATGTAAAAGATGTTCATTTTGGCTCAGTTTCATAATACAAAGCCGCCCATCATAAATACTGAGATTCAAAGAGCATGCTGTATGTTGAAGACTGACCCTGATCAGCTGTAGGTAAATATGTAAGGAAGATGTCATGACACCCGGATCTTTGTCACACAGGGCCTTTCGAAACTTGGCATGAATGTGCTGGACTTGATTTGGAGCTATAAGATAAAACTTATACAACGCCAGGACGGCTTTCCTCCGAATGATCTCCCTTAGACAGGAAAGAATGACAATAATATGAGTTATTATTAGACTGATGATCAAATTGATCAATATACAAATGTTTTTTCTGCCAATATTTAAACTTTTCTTAACTGGATAACTGGTTATTAATTCATTAATAAGGTAACTTCCGTTAAATCTGGTTCAATGCATGAATGTGCATTCAACAGGCAACAGTGGTGTTCACAGGTAAATTAAATTAGTATTTTTTTTTAATTAATATTAAAACAATATTAAAATATATTACATATATTTATATGAAATGTTTTATTAATGTAATTATTATTAAGAAGAATAATGTGTAAATGATGATTAGTTATTATTTTGTTAAAAAAGCAAAAATAAAGCAAAAATGGTGGTTATTGGACACTTGTTGCTATAGTTAACAAACAATTTTTTTCTTTTAAGATTTAAGACTTTGTTAACTGAAATATTGCTGGAATAAAATCAAACATAAATATTATGTGAAAAACTTAAAGTTTAAAGAAATTACTAAAGCCAACATAAAAACAAAATAAAACCTATATAGAAATATAGAGAGAAACTATCAAAATTACGAAAGCACACAACAAAATTACTAAAACTTTGACAAAAATGTATATCAAAGCTAAAAGTATAAAAAGCTAATTCAAAATATTACTAAACACTATAATATTAAATAAATAATAACAAAATAACACTGGTTGTAAAAGAACAACATCAACCATTCTATATCATATCTGAAAGCCTTATTTATAAGGTTTTCAGATATCTTCAAGTGTTCAAATAATGAATATCTCTGGGATTTGTGTGTATTGTGGAGGAGTGAGTCTCTCTGGCTTACTTTGGATGTGACAGCTTGTCTTCTACCAGAGGAAGGACAGCAGGTATCATGTCTTTGGGAAACACCTGAGCTACGACAGTCAACGCCATGCACGCTTCAATGAGGTTAGTGCTCTGAAGATCCTGTCACACATGCATGAGACGTTCAGCCACACATCTGACATAACGGGTCCAAGTAAAGGTAATGAGAACCAAACTCACTTTTAATACTGTATTTACCAGCAGCAACAACAATTCATGGCCTTCATTAAGGAAAAGAGACACTGCAAGGTACCCTAAAATAAAATTCAAGAGCTTAAAAGATTAAAATCATACACATTCAGAAGCCATAATTAACGTTTTTCATGAAGAATCTCTAAATGGAGTTATAAATAAATAAATAAAAACCGTAGATTTTTTGCATAATTTATTTGTTTTAATATAGACACAAATAACCGTAGATTTGTATAATTGAATATTTTCTGTAATCGAATATATTTATAAAATAATTATATTTTGTATATATATATACACATACAGTGGTGGCCAAAATGTTTGGAACACTAGTATTTTCACCAGCTAAAAAAAATTGTTTTAAGTCAGTTATTTCTATCTTTTGCTGTAGTGTGTCAGTAGGAAATATCAGTTTACATTTCCAAACTCAATAATTTTGCCAGACATGAAGAAACAGAACAAACTGAGACAGACTCAATTCAGAAGAAGTGTGGCAACGTCTCCAAGATGCTAAAAGAAACCTGCCTGCAAAGCTACAGCACTGTTAAGAGTTTTAGGTAAAAATGCTGTAAAATGAGGATGCAGTCAAAAATAATGCCAGATTTTCTTGAGCAATTAACTCCTATTAACTAAATAAAATCAACATTTGGTGTGACTATCCTTTGCGTTTAAAGCAGCTTTTGCGGGGCTTTGCAGGTAGGTCTCTTGAAGCATCAGTTCTTCTGGATTGAGTCTGTCTCAATTTACAATTACATTACAATTAATGGCAAAATGAATGAAAATAATGATTGTTATAATGTATTACACATACAATATTTTTTATTATTAAATGCATTTTATTTATAATTTGTACATTTATCATTGAGACTGATTTTGGAGCCTGTATAAAGTGTACTGCGCATGTGTTATTGAAGTGATATATGGTGAGGAGTGGAAATGCGGTGTAAACGTACCCACTCTCTTCTCCAGCACGCCGCCCTGCTGGGCCAGTTTGATGGCGTGAATGTAGGTGAAGGAGGCGTCGTAGCCCAGCATCTCACAGTACATGGCTCGCACCATGATCTCTCTCATCTGCTTCTGTAATACACACACCGAGGTCAAATAACCAGCTTCTGAAGTTCTGAGTGGCCGTGATGTCTGTATCGCTCACCATGGTGGTGTTGGGAGATGAAACCTGCTCTTTCATGGCAGACAGCTCCTGTTTGATGAGGTTCTCCTCCTCCTGCAAAGGCAAATCAAATGAGATCGTGCTTTAAAATCGAGAGCACAGCATTGCATTTTAATATGTGGTTGCTATGAACTTGATAGTGTACATTTGTATATTGTACTTTATTATTATTAGTAGTAGTAGTAGTAGTAGTTGTAGTATTTTGATATTGGAAGTGGCCACCTTTTTGCTGTTCACTTTACAGTTTTTTATAAATATATGTTTTATAATATTTATATTTTATTATGTTATGTATATTATTATATATAATATTATTAATATTTTTTTTATATATTTATAATTATTATTTACCATTATATTATTACTATATATATATATATATGCTAGTAAATAATATGTAATATATTAATTAAATAGATTAATAGATTATAATAATAAATGATACACAATATATTAAATAACATTTACAAATTATACAATATTAGATTTTTATTTATGTAATATTAGATTTTTATTTTTGTAATAATTTCTAGGACCTTAATGTTGTACATTGGTCTATTGTACTATTTATTTATTTATTTATTTTGATGTTGTAAATAGTCACCTTTTTGCTGTTAACTTTTTACAGATTTTATAAATACAATATTTTATAAATACAATGTATATACACACACACACACACACACACACACACACACACACATATATATATATATATATATATATATATATATATATATATAAATACGTATATATATGGAAATATGAAGTAAACAATACACCTATGTCGTGTAATCAATTATCTTGAAATCATGAAATTAGAAATATAAAATTGTATACTTTCCAGGTAAAGTACTGATTGCTACACTGAAACCGACACCATATCAAGTATTTGACGTGTCAATATCTATATTTATGCTTATGCCTCTAATGTTATTTTATTAAGTTAACGAATATTTAACTTACATGTTTAGATGTCAGTTCTGTGATGCTCTTGATGAGCTGTCTTAATCTGTTGGTGATTTTAGCAGCTCCAGTTTGAGAATCAAATAAAGCCGGCAGAGCAGTGAGAGTTTTCTCCACAACATCACTCATTTCAGCACGACAACACAGACGAGCAGATTATCAGACACAGCCGAGACCATACAACAAGATGAGTGCACTACAGCAGGACAAATACCTCTACAACACCTACACTACAGTCAAAACACACAGTACGAAAACAGAAACCATCATGATGACTAGACTTTCTCGCCGCCTACAGGAAGTGCGCTGCTGTTTTCATAATAAAAGTCCACGAGTGGTTTTACAGTTGCAGGAGTAATTCACCGAAACAACAACAATAATAATAAAACTAATCATTTCACAAAAACTACCTTTTAGAAGTTTAGCCGTCTTTATTATATCAATATAGTTTTATTATTACGTTATTATTATCTATCTATCTATCTATTTATCTATCTATCTATCTATCTATCTATCTATCTATCTATCTATCTATCTATCTATCTATCTATCTATCTATCTGACTATCTATCTATCTATCTATCTATCTATCTATCTATCTATCTATCTATCTGACTATCTATCTATCTATCTATCTATCTATCTATCTATCTGACTATCTATCTATCTATCTGACTATCTATCTATCTATCTGACTATCTATCTATCTATCTGACTATCTATCTATCTATCTGACTATCTATCTATCTATCTGACTATCTATCTATCTATCTGACTATCTATCTATCTATCTGACTATCTATCTATCTATCTGACTATCTATCTATCTATCTGACTATCTATCTATCTATCTGACTATCTATCTATCTATCTGACTATCTATCTATCTATCTGACTATCTATCTATCTATCTATCTATCTATCTAATAGTTATGTTTAACTATTCATTTATTTTATTTAAAGACAACAAAATTAAACAATTGTTTTTATAAACAATAGAAATCAGAGAATAAATTTTGCTTTAGGTTTTTTAAAGCTTTTTTTTTTTTTACAAAGCTACATGCAGTTGTTGTTTTTTAAATAACATTTGGTAAATGTAAAAAAAAAAAATTTATTTAAAAAAAAAAAAAAAAAAAATTGTTTTTGGGTCCAAAAAAAAAAAAAAAAAAAAAAAAAGGGGTTTGAAGTTGAACTCTTAATTTTGGGATGAACGGTCTTTTTTTAATAACTCTAAAACTTACTTTAAACATTATGCTTTATTGAACAGTTATTTTATTTATTATACATTCCATGTTAAAGGGGTCATATGATGCTGCTAAAAAGAACATTATTTGGTGTAATGAAATGTGTTTATGCGGTTTAAGGTTCAAAAAACACATTATTTTCCACATTCTGTACATTTCTCCTCTATGCCCCGCCTTATAATTAGTAATGAATGTAATTGTTTAAATAAAACTGATCTAACAACAACTTCATGAAATGGACATTATGAAATAAAGAGACACCACATGAGTTTCAGCATTTAAAATCCATTTATTTGGTTTAGGTGTAGGGATATCTGTATGACAATCTATATGATATTAAGAATACCGTAAGAAAGAACAACTATAGTGGCGTAATAATTGAATGACAACCAGACCATTACGAGTAAAAGAGCATAACTAAATCTCTTAGCTTGCATATCAGACATAGTGTCCGCTAAACAATCCTTCCTTTTTTCACTCATTCACAAGCAGTCAATCTAGACACCAGTGTCTCAACCTCATGCACAGACCTAAACAACATGAAATACATTTGTATTTTTTAGATTAATGTTTCAGATAAATTATTTCTTGGATCAAAAGTTCACACACATACACTAGAACGCCAAAATATAGCGGTAGTCGCTGTCATAGGAACAGAAGCCATCGACATCATCCAAGTCCATCCCATAATACCAAGCATACCATGTGCTGATTAGAGTTGGATGCACTACAGTCCCTCTGTATCATATACTCTACTGCACTCAATACGCTATTACAGTCTGCGGTTTATCCTTGAATCCAGCTGCGGTGAGGAAAGTGAGAAATCTGATCGTGCCGGACGTCAAACGCAAGCAGTCTGCGTTTCAGCCAACATTCAGGCCCAGATCTGGAGAAAGATAGAACAAATGTGAAACTTTCATTACAACACTTGATATACTTGCATTGTGTTAAGATATTTTTGTTCACTGACCCGTAATGTGTGATCCCAGGATCCCGAGCAGAACGCTGTTCCGTCTGGAGAAACGCGGAGCGTGCTAACTCTGTTCTCATGTCCAAACAAGATGGACACGCGGGTGCCCTTTAAAACGTCCCACACGTTGATGGTGTAGTCATTGTAGCCTCCAAACAGCAGCCTCCCTGCCGAAAGATATTAGCATAGCATAAACAACAAGCTCCTTCAAAAAGCAAATCAATCTTGGTTATTCAGGTAAACATATATATATATATATATATATATATATTTATATATATATATATATATATATATACACAGTATAGAGCCTCTTTTTGTTAACATAATTTGAATTAGTGCTGTCAAATGATTAATCGCGATTAATCGCATCCAAAATAAAAGTTTTTGTTTACATAATATATTTATGTGTATTGTGTTTATTTATTATGTATATATAAACACACACATTCAGTATATATTTAGAAAATATTTACATGTATATAAATTTTTATATTTATATTATTATATTATATATAAATATATTTAATATATAAACAACATTTTTCTTAAATATATACATGCATGTGTTTGTATTTATATACATACAATATACAAATATACACAGTACACACACATATATTATGTAAACAAAAACTTTTATTTTGGACGCGATTAATCGCGATTAATCGTTTAACAGCACTAATTTGAATATACTTAAAAATGTAATTTAATTCTGTGATCAAAGCGGAATTTTCAGCATCATTACTCCAGTCTTCAGTGTCACATGATCCTTCAGAAATCATTCTAATATGCTGATTTACTGGCTCAAGAAACATTTATATTATTATCAATGTTGAAAACAGTTGTGCTGCTATATATTTATGCAGAAACCATTATATACTACTATTCAAATATTTGAGAGATGTGTATGAGTTTTTTTTAATAGAAATGAATGCTTTTATTCAGCAAATATGCATTAAATTTATCAAAAATGACAGTAAAAACATTAATAATTTGACAAAAGATTCTGTTTAAAAAATGCTGCCCTTTCTGTTCATCACAGAATCCTAAAAAAAGGTTTCACAAAATATTAAGCTGCAAATACAATGATAATAAGAAGAACCATTATTAATAACTAAGTACCAATAATAATTGAGCATTATAATGATTTATAAGAATTTATTATTAGAATGGATCATGTGACGCTGAAGACTGGAGTAATGATGCTGAAAATTCAGTTTTGCATTACAAGAATAAATTGCATTTTAAAATATATTCAAATAGAAAATAGCTTTTTCAAATTGTGATAATATTTCTCAATATTACAGTTTTTACTATATTTTAGATCAAATAAATGCAGCCTTGGCAAGCATAAGAGATTTCATAAAAAACATTCAAAAATTAAAATGTTTCCAAAGTTTCGAAAGGTAGCATTTGAAAAATATGCAAGATGGGAAAAGACTCACAGTAGCGTCATCTGAGCCTGAAGCGAAAGCATCTCCGCTCGGATAGTACCTGCAGCGATAATAAAACATGAGCAGTCATGTGACTCTTTCACTCAGTAAACACTACTTGAATGTGCTGCCAAAGACCCTTTTAAGACAAGTCAGATCAGCCGATGACCATATTAGCACTCTTCCGGGCCTATACGGTCTCTCGTGACATTTCGAGTGTTTACACAGACTATAAATATTGACCAGTGCTGTAAATGCCTTAAATGTCACTCAGTCCACTTTGTTTTGTTTTTTTGCTTTGACAAAACCTGAAGGGAAAAGAGGCCTGAGTACACTTACCGCACACTGTTGATGTCTGATTCATGGGTCTCAAAAGACTGGGCGCACTGTCCCGTGCGCATGTCCCACACGCAAGCCTTCTTATCACAGCCCTGAGAGATGTGAGAACATGCGGGTCACTGCACAGTCATGTTAACAGCTCTATTGTGTTTGTGTGTGTGTGCTGTGCTGTATTTGTAGATCTGTGCTGCTCGAGCCACAAACTGCTTCAGATCGTTCAGTCCAATTTAGTGAATTGGTTCAAATAGTTCAAAAGAATGATTCGTTCGCAAACCAGACATTTGTCTGGACCGTTTGCCTGAGGCTCTGGATTACAGGTAATACTGTTGTGAATAATGTTTAGTTTCTTGCACAGACTGATCATTTTGCTTCATAAGACCTCAATATGTTGTCATGAGCAGCAGGTATTAATTTTCCGTTCCTTGATGCCTTTTTTATTCTTAAAAACAGGCAGCCACTTACTTGCATTTTATGAATTACCAAGGACCTACACCTACATATTGGATGGCCTGAGGGTATGGAAGCCCATTTCTACCGAAAAAAAACCAAACAAACTTAAATCTCAGAATTGCATGATACAAACTCGCAATTTTTTTTTCATGATTGTGAGATATGAACTCACAGTTGCGAGTAAAAAAGTCAGATTTGTGAGATATAAACTCGCAGTTCTGACTTTTTTCTCAGAATTGCATGATATAAATTCGCAATTCTTAGAAATAGTCACAATTCTGAGAAATAAATTAGAATCAGAATTGCGAGATATAAACAGACAATTCTGACATTTTTTTCAGAATTCAACTTTACAACTTGCAATTGTGAGTTTATATAATGCAATTCTGAGAAAAAAATCAGGATTGCGAGTTTGTATTACACAATTCTGAGAAAAAAAGTCAGAATTGTGAGATAAAAACGTATTTTTTATTCAGTGGAGGAAACAGATAAATTAACAGCAAATTTTCATTTTTGGGTGAACTATCCCTTTAAGAAAGTAAATAGGGTAAATTACGATCTCATGTTAAAGCTGCAGTCTGTAACTTTTGGTGCTCTAGCGGTAAACAGAACTGCGTGTGTCTTGCGGAAGAACATTGTAGCCGGAGCTACTTCTCTCCGTTTATGTCTATGGCGAATCACGCAGGTACTGGGCTACTCCGCAGTGGTACCCACCCGAACCAGTCTAAATAGTCTGAATATAAACACTTATTATAGGTGTACCGTAGTGATTCAGGACAAGCCAAAAACACGGTTTGGAAAATGGATTCATGGTGTACTCGCTTATTATAAATTTTGTAAATTTTGAACACAAAAAAAGTTACGGACTGCAGCTTTAACTCTAAGGTTACATAAGGTAATGTGTGACCATAGACTGTATAAAAACATGGACGTAGTGTCCGTGACGTCATCAGTAGGTTTCTGAAGAGCGTTTTTGAAGCTCAAAGTGGGCGGAGCGGGCCGTCGCCATCTTGGCAGCGCGTCACCGCACGTCACTCCCGGATAATCGAAATTGGGCAAAGAGGCGGGTGTTTGTTGCTGAAACCACGCCCACCTAGCTCGACGGTGGTGACGGCAGCGGCAATCCACCTGTCACTCAAGTGGCCACGCCCTTAATTATGCAGAACTTTAAGGCTTAATATAATTTAAACGGATGAGTTATAAAACAATTCACCCCCTCACAGTTGTCATGAAGGGCAAAATAAGCTATATAGACCAAAACCACTTTTTGTACCAGGCTGTAAATAAAAAAAATTCTGCTGTAAAGTTGGGCATTTTAACATTGGGAGTCTATAGGACTGACTCCCTTTTGGTGCCAGCCTCTAGCGGCCAGTCGATGAATTGCAGTTTTAGTCACTTCCGTGTTGGTTTCACGAGAGAGACCGGAAGGTTGCCGCTTGTGTGTGACACTAGTTTGTCAATGGAGGGTTCGTGTGGCTTGTGTTTGGTATCAGCAGCTCAGTTCCCACCCCTGACACGAATGTGTTTCCGGTCTCAGAGGGGGCCAGATCCAGACACAGCACATCAGCCGCGTGTCCATGGAAGCTCTGCAGCATCTGACCGCTCTCTACATCCCAAAGAGCACAGGTGCCGTCACCGCTAGACGTCAGGATCTAACGCAAACACAAAACACACCACAATCGGTCAAATGCAAAACACTGTTTCATTATTTCACCATGTATTCAAGCATACCTGCATATCTGAGTTAGTAAAGCAGCATGCGGACAGGTAGTTGGTGTGCATGGCCACTGATTTCTTCTTGGCGGCAAGGTTTTCGTTCTTGTCCAGGGATAGAGGGTACACAGAGCACTTATTGTCCAACCCACTGCGAAACAACGTATCAGTTAAAGGTGCAGTATGTAATATTGACAGCTAGTGGTTGAAATGTGTACTGCAGTCCAAATTTAAAACATTGGAGAGAGTTGTTTCTCCGGCCACCACTCATGCGGGTTGCCAGATTGAAGACATGTAACAGGAACGAGAGCAACTGACAATGGAAGGTGAAGTTGATGAGTTAATTTATCCGTGTTTTAATATTTCTCTGGTCATAGAGCTTTTTAGATGAATTGTAAGGCTTTTTAGGTCAGGAAGAATCTGCTTGCTTCCACGGATGCATTACGCTGTGTTTTCCTCCAACTGGCAACCCAGGGTATTGAAATCCGATTGGGTAAATTGGTAGTGGGCGGAGTCACGCAGACCAAAACAAAAACAGACATTGTGACACAGAACGCACATTTCAAAGTATAATAACTGGCTGTAGAGTAATTTTTCTGAGTAACAAGTATGTGAACTTAGCATGTTTCCTAAATATCTGCAAACATATTATGCTATTTTTATGCTTTAGTACAGTGAAAAAAAAATTAGATTCATCACCTTTAATAAAATAAATCAAGTGAGCATAAAGATGAAGTTAGCAAGCAGTTCTCCACTAATCTCCATATTTTTGGTTTTATACAGCAAGGATGTTTTGTATTTACTAGACTTGAAATTATGGTTTAAAGTGTGTGACGTCTACGCGAACTAGTGGCACTAAATGGAACTACAAAACAAAATATTGTTTCCTAAAAACTCCTAAAGCTTTCTAGCCTTTACACTGGTTGGAAAAGCATGACCCACCCCAAATGATGTTTATTGCTCAAAGAGAGAGATATAATGTTTAGTGAAATGTTTAGAAAGAAACCGGAGAGCCCAGAGACTTACCCACAAGCCACTGCACATCCAGAGGGGGCGTAAGCACAGGCCATGACCCACGTGCAGGGCATAGTCACTGCATGCTCCTGTCAAGACATTTAATATATATAAAATATTTTAAAAGCATGGTTATTACAGCTAAAATACAAAACCATAAAAATAAATAATGTGTTACTTGAAAATAAAATGAAACTGAAAATAAATAAATAAATAAGCAAACCTATTTTATTTCAGCTAAAAGGTAAGGTAATTATTTTCATTTAGTTTACCTTGATGTATTAAAATAACTTAAACTAAATAAAAATATGCAGACTTAAGAAAAATAAAACCTAAGACACGTTACAAGAACACACAACTAAATTTTTTAAAAATAAAATAAAATGCAGATATAAGAATTAATTCACAACATTAGTAAAAACTATAATAGTATGTAAATAACACTGATTAATAGTCAAATTAAATGAAAAATCAATAAGGTTTGAAACAGAAGCTAAATAACAAATTAAGCTACACTTTATATAAACATTAGTCAAAAGCATACAGTACATAAGTTTATAACAATTATATAACATGATTAGTAACTAATATAATAAGTAAACTATGGGGGGGAAATGAAAAAGTATAGGATATAACCCTAGAAATCATGGAAATATCACTCTTTTGAAGTGTCAGGTTTATTTTACCTTATTTGTTGTAAAGGCATCCCATACAATCACCTTTCCATCCTAAAATACAGAAGAAAATTAAATTATTATTGATATAAGTATTGCACCAATTGCCAAACTGTCACTGTGAAAGGAAATTACAGTGATATATCTGATGTCTGTTTTTATAGACTGACCTGAGATGAGCTGACGATTCTCCTCTTGTCTTTACACCAGTCCATACACAGGACTTTATTTCCATGGCCTTTCAGGGTTCGTCTGGTCTTCATGACAAACTGACCCAAAGCCTCAGTCTTCTCTGCCACTTGATGCACTGATCGAAAAGTCACAACATTTAGTTTATTTCCTGTTTTTATCCTTCATGAACATGCCTGCAGATGCCTACATTACTAAATTTTGCTGGCAGTAATAACTGCTTCTTATCAAACCATTAGTGAAAAATCCTTTAAAAAAAAAAGATAAATAATAAATGAACACACTAACAAAAGGTAATACATTAATAAAATGTATATACAATAAAAATACAAATAAATAAAATGCATAAAAATAAATGTAAAACTCCTAAATAATAATAATAATAATTGGATAAACGCGTCTGCTAAATGTCTAAATGTAAATATATAACACAAAATAACTAAATAATTTTAAAAAGCTTAAACACTGAATGAAAATTCTCATTATGAAGTCATTTTTAGCAGTGTTACTATTACAGTAATCAAAATATAGCTTAAATCAAATAACATTTAACTGTTACATTAAATACTTCGAACCAGACGTTCCTTTGACAACTAAAAAAATAAAACAACAAAAAAACAAAATTAAAAATGACAAAAGCACATAATAAAAACGAATAAAACAAACCAAAATGAAAATAAAACTGAAAATATAAAACTAAGAACGAATTCAAAATATGAATACTATAATAGCATATAAAATAACACATATTCTTGTAAATATTAATATTCTGACTTGTCTCTCGGAATATCATAATGTGATGCTGAACGGAAATTAAAACCACCATCATCACATCATCATCATCATCATCATCATCATCATCGCCGCCTTAGTGAACCCTGATCAGTTTATCTAAACAGCTGATGGCTTCTTCAATCAGACTGACTGTAAACATCGCGCTACATAACGACAGCTATGATGTCTTCATTACCACACACACACACACACACGCGCGCGCTCTTACGCTCGACATCGTGCAGCTTGGCTCTCTCCTCCTCCAGCTTCGTCTTCAGCGTCTCGGATTCGGTTTTGAGCGTCGCCAGAGTGTCGCTGGGCTGCGAGGCCACCTCCTGCGCGGCCATTTCCAGCAGAAAACACGAGATTCGCGGAGGAGAGGAGTGTTTTGATGGAGAGAGACGGAGGAGAAAGAACGAATTCAAAATATGAATACTATAATAGCATATAAAATAACACATATTCTTGTAAATATTAATATTCTGACTTGTCTCTCGGAATATCATAATGTGATGCTGAACGGAAATTAAAACCACCATCATCACCATCATCACCATCATCACCATCATCATCATCATCATCATCATCATCGCCGCCTTAGTGAACCCTGATCAGTTTATCTAAACAGCTGATGGCTTCTTCAATCAGACTGACTGTAAACATCGCGCTACATAACGACAGCTATGATGTCTTCATTACCACACACACACACACACACGCGCGCGCTCTTACGCTCGACATCGTGCAGCTTGGCTCTCTCCTCCTCCAGCTTCGTCTTCAGCGTCTCGGATTCGGTTTTGAGCGTCGCCAGAGTGTCGCTGGGCTGCGAGGCCACCTCCTGCGCGGCCATTTCCAGCAGAAAACACGAGATTCGCGGAGGAGAGGAGTGTTTTGATGGAGAGAGACGGAGGAGAGGAGTGTTTTGATGGAGAGAGACGGAGGAGAGCCTGGAGACGGAGGGGATGTCGTGACGCCATGCAGGGAGTCTCTCTCT